GGTTTTTTTTTTTTTTTTTTTTTTTTTTGGCTATACGGTACATGCGTTCACTGTAGAGAGACAGAGAGGGAAAGTGAGAAATCATCCCCCCAGGGTGATGGCCACGCTGCAATCCCTTCTCCTCTGTTCTCCTTTCAGGATTTGAGGCATGCACACAGATACACTCAGCCTGTTTTCAGGAGGCCATGTGAGATCCAGCACTTTCACCACCATGCCACCTGCTGCCCACTAAAGGTCCCCTTAGGGATGAAATTGCACCTGCTTAATAACTGCAATGTTATACTAACCTTGTTTCTATAACTTTCCCTTTTACTATAACAAAGCTTTATCTTACAAGAGCGCATAGCTAGTATGGTTATGTTAGTCTTACGTTGTTTGAATATGTACAGGAGTTTCTTTCTGCCCCGTTTGACCACAGAGAAACGGACTATGAGGAAGAACAGCAGGGATAACACTGTCACCGACGTCAGCACAAGAAAGTACGTGATGATCTGCGGAGTGTGGCCTTCAAAAAAGGGCAAAAGGAGAAATTCAGGCAGAAATATATAAACAAATACATTCATGCTTGTATTTACTTCAGTAAACGTCTAAGTACAAGAAGGATTCATACCTTAGGGACCTTTAACCTAATTTAGTAAAATTAGAAAACTAAACAAAAAACACAAAAACAAACACTTAAAAATTTACATAGAGCCCCACAAAAGTCAAGCAGTTTGGCCTTTCTAACACACAGAAAATATGGCACCCCACCATCCCCTTTACTTGGCTAATGAAGTTGTAGTGTCTGTTGGGTGAAACGCCACCTTGCATTGCTTACTAACATGTATCTCAGACAAAATTAAAAAAAATGCCTGAGAAAAAAACTGACAGATCCTCCAAAGCAGGAAGGAGGAAGGCACACCAGAGGTGCCTGTTGTAGGCAGAGATGTGGGACATTGTGACCTTGGGGCGATTCGGATACCAGTTGGGATAGCCATGATACATTCACTTTGACATAACAGCCATAAACCAGCCATGTGGTTCTGTCACAGGGTGGGCCTGGGGGCAGATGACGTACCTGGAGCTAAGTCAGCTGAGGCCGGTCCACAGACCACATCCCTGTCCTTCGTCCCATTCACAAGTACATACTTTCCATCCAAAGAGCAGCTTAGACAGTTCAATGAAAAGAGTTCAAAAAATTAGTTTCAGTGCAGAGAGTTCAAGTGAAAAGCTGGCATTCCTCACCCAATGATGTGGCCTAGTGACAAAGGCATGTGGGTCTGGGTTCAGAGACGATGTGAAGATACTTTGAGAAACATCCACTGGACCATTCGACTTTCTCCAGCTTTCCCTGACCTTGGAGGTTCTCTGCAGTTCCCTCCTTCTCCCCACCTAGCTGAGCTCTCTTCTGTCTTCCCGGGCTGGAGACAGTGTTGGTCTCCTTCCAAGACAGCTTAGTTAAGGCTGTTTGGCTTGGTTAGACTCTCACTCCCAACTTCTTAATCATATTGACCACCTCTAGAATGTGTATATGAAGAAGAGTGTAGGATTAGGAGTTCTGGTACTGGTAATGAAAAACCAGGGTTTGAGCCCTGAGTACAATACTTTGCAGAACAATTTTGGGCAGTTTATGAAATGTCTGTAAGCCTCAGTTTTCTCATTTGCAAAATAAAGATTATATATGCTCCCAGAACTGATGTGAAGAGCAAATGAACACTTCTGTTGGCCTGATGCTCTCAATAAGCAATCACTACCATCGTCATCACCATCCTAGTCGCCGTGTTGTTAGGCCTTTTCCCTTGTCCAATTATCTATCTAACATCCACTTATCCTCCAAAGCCCAGTTCAAACCCACTCTTCCAGGTAGATTTCCTTTCTCTGAATGGTAAGTGTTGAAAGATCTTTTTTAGGGGGAAAAATACTTCCAATCTGTTACAAACCAATACATTTGTAAATATAGTGGAAATATCATTGTCAAGTAATAGTAAAAATGATTTTCTAGTAAGAAAATCAAGCGGAAAAAGAACGACAGATAAAAAACAGGGCCCACATTTTTTTTTTTTGAGAGGTTTTTTCGCTATAGGGTGCGTGCGCTCGCCAGACAGACAGAGACACAGAGACAGAAAGCGAGAAATCACCCCCCAGGGGGGATGGTCATGCCGCAATCCCTTCTCCTCCATTCTCCTCTCGGGATCTTGGGCACGCACGCACACGTGCCCAGCGTGAGTTTTAAGCCACCGGGTCCAGGACGCGAACTGCGGTCGACTATGTGGGAGTCCAGCAACATAGCCATTACGCTAACTGCTGGTTCCCTAGGGCCCACATATTTTTGAAAATTATTTTATTTAATTTTACTCATTGTCTTTTACTTTTTTGAAGTTGTTCAGAGAAAGAGAAGGAAAGTGAGAAAGAAAGCTGTTAGGTCTGAGACTTGAACCACGATCAACCATATGGAAGTCCGGCTACCTTAACCGCCAGGACACCTGCCGACCCCAGGGCCCACATTTCTGTTATTAGAGTTGATAGACCACATTACTCTACCGCATTACATTGCCTTAAAAGTCTCTAAATGCCTACCCTATGCTTGCACCACTGTTATTGAGGACATACAACAGATCATTCGTGGAGAGCACCTGACCACAGACCACAGTTTGAGCACTCTGGTGCAATACCATTAGCCTAAAGTCACATTCTCCCATGAGCTCTTGGCTGCTTTACTATCTGCAATGGCTTCGTGTGCCCAAGTGCAGGTTACAGCTTGGAGGTAAGGAGCATGCTTTACCCTTCTATATCATTCTCAGTGCTAGCATTGAACACTTAAAGATGGGCTGATCAATGAGGGGAGTAAGAGGCAGCAAAGAAAGGAAAAGGAAACAGAACAGACAACCACCCAAGGCCGACAGTGGCAAAATGTCACAGGCAAAACTGCCTAGATGCTCTGGGCATTATTTCTGGAGAAAATGCCCATCTACACTTGAGTGGTGTAGAAAAGCTTCAGTGACAGCACTCCTGGTCTTTAAAAAGTTTCACCCAGGGGCCAGCAGGTGACATAATAGTTAAGATGCTAGATTCCCACATGGCCAACTGCGGTTCGAGTCCCAGACTAGGCAGCCCAAAACTCATGCTAGGCACGTGTGTGAGCACGCCCCAAATCCCAGGAGGAGAATGGAGGAGAAGGGATTGCTGTGTGGCCAACCTCCTAGGGGGTGATTTCTTGCTTTCGGTCTTTCTCTGTCTCTCTGACGACCACATGTGCCCTATAGCAAAAAAACTGTCCAAAAGAAAAACATTTTCACCCAGATTCTTTATTTTGTAAGCAAAAGGAAACTGACATTTTTTTGCGAAACAAAATTTTACATACTTGGTCCAGGGTTGACAGGTACCATGTTTTTGATCATAAAATGTCCCAGAGTAGCAGTCTTTACAACCTTGCATGAAAATGAAAGCCATAATAAGAAAACAGTATTTTCACCATTTCATAACTTTTCCTATGATTAACATAGTAAAGTTGTGAACTTAATACAACCTGTACAAACCATTCAACAATTTTTGAAACAAAGCTCTAAGATTACTAGTCTTTATTCTAATTATACATAAAGTATTACATGTATCTAAAATATATGAACTTGCATGGTTCATGTAATCAACAGATCTTCTGAGTTCAGATTGTTTCCACTCACAGAAAAATAATGAAAATAGGAATATAAGTATTAGTAATTAATACATATAAATATCATACATTTGTGCATTGGTTCATTATTTGTTACTTTACCTTTTTAAAGAACTGCCTAGATGCTCTGGGCATTATTATTATTTATTTATTTTCTTCATAATTTGACCAGACAGACAGAGAGACAGATAGTGAGAAAGCAAGCCACCAGGTCTGGGACTGTGGTTGGCCACGTGGGAGTCCAGCACTTTAATCACCATGCCACCTGCCAGCCCCGTTATTTGTTATTTTAAAGTTCTACTACTCAGGGACCAGCAGGTGGCGCGGTGGTTAAGGCACTGTACTCCCAGTTGACTGGGCCACAGTTTGAGTCCTGGACCTGGTGGCTTGCTTTCTCACTTCCCCTCTCTCTTTCTCTGTCCCTCCCTGAATTAAAATAATAATAATAATAATGATAATAATAAGGGGCCGGGAGGTGGCGTAGTGGTTGAGGGCGCTGGACTCCCACATGGCTGAACGCAGTTTGATTCCTGGACCTGGCGGCTCTCCTTTCTCATCTCCCCCCAACCCCCCTCTCTCATTCTATCCCTCTCTGGTCAAATTAAAATAAGTAAACAAATAAATAAAGTTAAATAAAATAATTCTTACAAATAATAATACATAAAAATTAAATAAATACATTGTTTAATAAAAAAAATGTACAAATCCATTTTCTTACTTTATATTCAAATGATCAAGAGCTAAGTTAATGAAGTATGTCTCCATAACACACTTGAATTAAAGGAAAGCACACTTACCCTCTTTTGTTAATTCTTGACCTTGTTTACACTCCTGCACACACATGGTACATCCTGACCCCATGCAGCGGAATCCTGAAATGCACTCACACTCTGCATTGCTTGTAAGGGAGCATGCCTTCTTGGTCCTAAAAACACCTACAAAACCCCCATTATTATATTACACTTGACCTCCAAATCCAGGAGGCAAATCTATGATCTGCAATGAAATAATAACCTTGATTATAAGGTTTGCTTGTAAATCTCCATAAAGACATTCTACCCTTTGCTAACTAAAAAATTCTCTTATCAAATGAATGTTTCCTCTGATACTTAAAAAGCTCAGTCAAGTGGACTGGACCTGCCTGTTGACAGAAGAATCAGCATCTATGACACTTAAGATTTTTAATACACAAAGAACAGGAAATAGGGACTACAGCTTGTCTTCCCAACAATCTCCCAGATGAAAAATACACCTTTTAAATCATACCTTCGCATTGCCTGCATATGGCACAGGTCTTTTGTCCGCCTGTGCTAGAAAAACTATTTGGAGGACAGGGAATGCAGATCTGACTCCTGTTTTCCCCACAGAAAGTACCTGAGAAAGGCAGATAACAGCTTATATGTTTAACAATGGACAATCATCACCCGAAGCATTATAAAATTAGCAAGAAGATTCAAGTATAAAACAATGATTAGATTTCCAGATGCCATAACTGATGTGACTTTGTTATTGATTTTCCAAAATTATACATTTGAGAGGCTGGACAGCAGTATGGCATTGACACAGAGCTCTGTGAAGCTGACCCACATGAGAAGGCTCTGGGTTCAGGTGCATACACTTCCCTGGGTGCACCAGGCACATGTGCATGCATACCCATGGTCTGGGGCTGGCTAAGAACTGGGGGGAGCATAGCATGAAAATTCTTTTGGGGGAGATTCTCACTCTCTGTCTCTTTCACTCCTGGAACAAATAACTTCAACAATTATACATTTATAAGATTGCCCAAGCCACTAGGTGACATGGAGGTTAAGGCAACTGGATCCCACATGGTCAATTGCACAGCTCGAGTCTGGACCTGGTAACTTGACAATAAAGCCAGGTGTGTGCGCACATGCCTAAATTCCCAAGAGGAGAATGGAGGAGAAAGGACTGCAATGTGGCCATCTGCCCATGGAGGATGATTTCTCACTTTTTCTTTCTTTCTCACTCTGTCCAACAGCCAAAAATAAATAAATAAAACAACCAAAAAAAATTTCTAGTGTAATCACAGAATAGAAATAACAAAGTACATATATTGTAACAAATGAATCAACAGAAAGGGAAAATTTTCCTTTATCTATTAAATAAAACAGAATGATTTCACTTGCTTGATCAATGTCCATCACTGGCACACTAAACATTTTTTTAATTATTTTTTTCTCTCTTTCTCTTTCTTTCTTTCTTTCTCTCTCTCTCTCTCTTTCTTTTTAATTCGACCAGAGAGGGACAAAGAGAGAGAGAGAGAGAAACTGAGAAAGCAAGCCACCAGGTCCAGTACTCAAACCGTGGTCAGCCATGTGGAAGTCCAGCATCCTTAACCTCCACACCACCTGCTGGCCCCGGCACACTAAAATTTAAATGCCTCTGACTATCCCCATTCCGTGAAGCCCTCTGTCTTACCATGCACCTCGCATTGCTCTAACTAAGCCCTTCATATGATCCGTTCAGTAATCCTATAAGTCATCTTATTACCCCTAGATGGCAAAGTTATGGCAAAGAGATTAAATGACTTGACTATATTCACACACCTAGTATGTAGCATCTAACAAGGATTTGTAAATGAATGAATCAAAGGTCATTAAAAAGGAGTTCACTAGCTCTGACTACTAGGCTAACTGAACCGGATTTTGAACAGAACAGACCAGGTGCACATGTTAGTTTAGTACTTACCAGCTGAACAGTTACTACAGGAAGTCTGCGTTGATCTTGTCCTCTCAAAATTCATGACCAACAGCACAGTTGCCACCATGTTGTAATAGCCATTTCCCATGATGAAATCTTGCATGGATGTGATACTAGCAAAGCAGCTTCCAAAGGGATGCTAGTCAAATTAGCTAGTGTCACAAATGCACTCTGCAAAAAATAAAGATTTTCAAAGATGAGGTTGTTTCTTGGGAACCAGCAGTTAGCGTAATGGCTATGTCGCTGGACTCCCACATAGTCGACCGTGGTTCGCGTCCTGGACCCGGTGGCTTAAAACTCACACAGGGCGCATGTGCGTGCGTGCCCAAGATCCCGAGAGTAGAATGGAAGAGAAGGGATTCAGGTGTGACTATGCCCCCTGGGGGGTGATTTCTCGCTTTCTGTCTCTATGTCTCTCTCTGTCTGTCTGGCGAGCGCACACGCCCTATAGTGAAACCTCTCCCCAAAAAAAAAAAAAAAAGATGAGGTTGTTTCTTCTTTCAAAATCATCTACACCCATTATCTTTCAACCATTCCACAAGACTGTAACTCAGAGTTTTTCAGGAATAACAATGATAAAACAGTATGAAAAAGTAACAACATCATTCCATCATTGAAACGTCTACAAGAAAAGCATGGTTAAACACATCACTTCGTGTAGCTTTGCCAAAGTCTAAGAGTGCAATTTCCAACTTGCTTTGCCAAACTGCAGAAATAACAATAGCAAGAACTTTTGGGGACTTTCATAGATTCTTAGCATTAACAGCCCGATTTCAGTAATGCCATTTGCTCTGTCCCTGAAATAAGATCCCTCCCAAAAGAATGTGTCAGTGGTGTCCGACAGTTCAGTTCAATGAGAAGATACCATATCACTCTTCTTCCCTCTTTGGCTGAACACTCCACTACTACCATGTGGAAAGGCCTCTCTGCTCAACTCTTTACCACATTTCCTTAAACATGGACATGTACTTGCCTGTGCTGAGATTTGAAGCTCATGTAGTAACAAGACCAAGTAAGGAGTGAAAAAACTCCGTCTTCAGGCTAGGTTTAATGGGCTATTGAATAGAAGTTATTATAAATTAAAGGGGAAAAAAGTCTAGAAAAGTGTAAAGGGCATGAAAGTTCCATATCCTTCCTCATCCCCCCAGTTCCCTCCTCCCACAAAAAATGGGCAAACCTGGAGCTCTCGGGGCTGCCGTGACCTCTCCACTCCACTGGTCTTCAGAGAAGCTGAGTTCTGCAGCTCTGGAGGGCAGCAAGGCGACCCAGGAGCAATGACTCAGCTGGTGGGCGGGGCCTTGTGGGAAATCCCCTCCACACTCCGTGAAGTAGCTCATCTGACAGAGCTGATCCCAAAAGCCCCTAGAGCCCCTGTCCCCACTTGATAATGGCACTGCAAACTGTTTCTTGGAAGCAGCTCCCTACTGTTAGGACATTTCTCAGATGCCCTTGGGAACAGGATTTTTGTCTCTTAAAATAGCTGGCCATGTCAACGTTTTAAAAAGGGTGTCTTTAACAATTTGAGATTTGAAGGATAAAATCAACGTCTACATAAAGATCAGCACCATTGCCAAATGCTATCCCTTGACTATCAAAGAACGTGGATAGCTGTTGTTTCTTGAGCACAGCTGCAGTTCAGGAACCAGGTATGCACTTCCGGAAATCCGATCCTTGAAAGAATGCTAGGAGTCTTCACTATCATTATGACTGGGGCAACATTATGCAAATGAGAAAAATGAGGCTTTCTGTGTAGTCAGCTAATCAGCAGGACAGGGAGCGGGGTTAGAACCCAAGCCTACCTACCTCCTTTTAACAGTGCTCCTCGCTGCTATGTGGGTGAGATTGGGGAGGGAGGGAGAAACAGAGGGAAATGAAGACAAGGGAAGCATAACATTTTTATGGTGGGGTGATATTACAGGGAAAGTTGAGATCTGTGAATGGTTTTTAGAAAAGCTTGATTTTGGAACCAGAAGGTGGCATGGAGATTAAAGTGCTGGACTGCCACATGGCTAACCATGGTTCAAGTCCCATACCTTGCAGCTTGCTTTCTCAATTCCTCTGTTTATCATTGGTCACATAATAATAATAATAATAATAATAATAATAAATAAAAAGTAACAAATAATTTAAAGAAAAAAAGAGAAGCTTGATTTCAAGGTGGATTTTTCTTTTCCTGAAATAAAAGGAAGAAGAGGAAAAGAAGAAAGAAAAGAGTATGAGGAGGAGAAGAAAGGAGAAGGAAGAAGAGGTAAAAAGAAGACAAGAGAAAGGATGGAGGGGGATCAGCAGATGGCGTAGTGGTTATGTCACTGGACTCCCATGTAGTCGACCGCTATTCGAGTCCCAGACCTAGTAGCTTAAAATTCAGATCGGAGGTGTATGTGTGCATGCCCAATATCCAGAGAGGAGAATGGAAGAGAAGAGATTGCAGCATGGTCATTCCCTCCCTCTCAGGGGATGAATTCTCACTTTCTATCTGTCTGTCTCTCCAGCAAGTTCATGTGCCTTATAACAAAAATCTCTCGGGAACCAGCAGTTAGCGTAATGGCTGTCGCTGGACTCCCACGTAGTCGACCGCAGTTTGTGTCCCGGACCCGGTGGCTTAAAACTCACGCCGGGCGCGTGTGCGTGTGTGCCCAAGATCCCGAGAGGAGAATGGAGGAGAAGGGATTGCGGCGTGACCATCCCCCCTGGGAGGTGATTTCTCGCTTTCTGTCTCTATGTCTCTCTCTGTCTGTCTGGCGAGCGCACGCGCCCTACAGTGAAAATCTCTCAAAAAAAAAAATCTCTCTAAAAAAAGAAAGAAAGGAAAGAAAAGAAAATGAGGGAGGAGAAGGAACAGGAAGAAAAGAACAGGAAGAAGAAGGGAAGGGGAAAGAGGAGGAGGTTAGAGAGACAATAAGATGAATCTGTCTTTGAGTGCCTAGAGATCTTCAGGAAGACAACCATGGGAACTTCGGCTGGAATGGGATCGGGGGAGGAAAACATCAAGGAGAATTTTTTTTTTTTTGGAGAGGTTTTTGCCTTAGGGCATGTGCACTCACCAGGGAGACAGAGACAATGAGAGGGAAAGTGAGAAACCACTCCCCGGGGGGGATAGCCATGCCACAATCCCTTCTCCTCCATTCTCCTCCCTGGATCTCAGGCACACATGCACATGCATCTAGCATGAGTTTCAAGTCACTGGGTCCAGGACTCGAACTGCAATCAACCATGTGGGAGTCCAGCAACATAACCACTATGCCATCTGCTGACCCCATTGTCAAGAGGAATTTTAAGTAAAATGGATTTCCCATTAGGACCCAAAAAGAAAATAACTATTTTCCATAGGAAAAATGGAGACTTGGTCTTGCATTGGAGATGAAGGGAAAGGAGAAGAGAACTGGTACTCTTTTATTTATTTCTTTTTTAAACAGAGATTTTTGTCACAGGGCACATGTACTCACTGGAAAGAGAGAGAGACAGAAAGCAAGAAATCATCCCTGCAGGGGGTATGGCCATGTCACAGTCCCTTCTCCTTCATTCTCCTCTAGGGATCTCACGGACATGTGCCTGGTGTAAGTTTCAAGTCATCAGGTCTCATCTGGGACTCAAACCATGGTCGACCCTGTGGGAGTCCAGCACCTCGACCAAGTGGGAATCCAGTGCCCCAATCACTATGCCACCTACTGGCCTCAAGCTGGTACTTATTAAACACTTCAGTGTGGTACAGGTTTACACGACTTCTGTCATGTTGTTTTCCTTTTAAAAAAAAACTTCCAGTGGCTCCCTTCTGCCTATAAATGAGACCTAGACCCTACAGACCTTTAATATCTGACCCTGAGGTTGCCTTTTTACAAAAATTAGATATAGCTTGTGTAACATAAAATTTTATGATTTCAAAGTATACAATTTTGTGGCTTTTTGTATATTCACTGCAGTGTGCAACCATCACTACTACCTAATGCCAGAACATTTCCATCAGCCAAAATCAAATCCCATCCCTGTTAGCAGTCACTCTCATTCTCCTTCTCTCCAGCCCCTTGTACTCACTAATCTACTTTCTATCTATGAATTTTCTATTCTGGGCATTTCATGTCAATGTGATTGTACAACATGGTCTTTTATTACTGGCTTGCAACTTAGCATAATATTTTCAAGGTTTATTCATATTGTAATATGTGTCAGTTCTTCATTCTTTTTCATGGCTGAATAATATTCCATCATATGGATATACCACAGTTCATCAGCAATAGGCAGTTGGGTCATTTCTACTTTGGGGCTATTATGAATAAAGCTACTATGAATGTTCGATATATAGGTTATGTGGACATATGTTTTAGTAATGGCATCTTTGTATTGTATGGCAATTCTATGTCTTGCCTTTTAAGGAGTTGCCAGACTGCTTTTCAGAACAGGAATACCAGTTTACATTCCCACCAGCAGTGAAAGAGTATTTTCATTTCCTGTATCCTTGTCCGATAAAGCTTGTTGTTTTCCATTAAATAAGAAAAAAAAAAAAAAAAGAAAACACCATCCTGGTATGTGCAAAGTGGTAATTCATTGTGGTTTTGATTAGCTACCCCTACCCCAGTTTTATTATATATATATGCTTATGCACCCACACATAAAGGATAGAACAAAGCACAGTGGTTAAGAGCCCACGCTTGACTGTCAGACTGACCTGGATTGAATCAAGCACTACTATTCCTGTTTGCATAACCTTGGACAAATTTCTTAACCATCTTATGTCTCAGTTTTCCAAGTATACCTTACAGGTAGAGCAACACCACACATCATCTTCATTTAGTGAGGATTAAATGAAACAATAAGCATAGGAAGTACTTAGCCGGGCACACAGTTTCCGAGAAAATAGTGACTGCTGTTTTAAGGTATACTATTTTGAAAAGCCCCTGCCCTAACCTCTCATACTGACCAGTGTCAGTAAAACAAAGGACAAATAGACACAGAGGAGAAAAACACAGGAGCTATCTACAGAATGTATCCCCAAATTCGGAGTCATTTTACCTGTGATATTGGTGGTATCCCCCTCTTTGCCGTACACACACACCAGTCCAACTCCAGCAGAATAGGCTGAATGTCAGTGTTGTATGATGACAATTAGACTGCTGATCACCTCCTAACACTTCGAAGTCACATCGAAGCAAGTGATCTCATTTGCATGGGTTTTGTGGTGCGACATTTAACAGGACTGTATTTTTATCTATGAGCTACTTTCTAGTGTACGTTTTAAATATTCTGTGGGCGAGGCATTACCTCCCCTAACAATGACGTGTTCTGGTTTCCCAGCACCTTAATTAGCTCACTTTCTCAAGCTTCTATGCCAGTGACAAAGAGTCTTTACTGAGCTAAAAGATTCTCAAGATTAGCTGTACCAGCCTACAGTTGAAAAAAAAAAAAAATCAACCACTTCAAAACTATTCTACTGAAGTCTACACTTAACTGTATTCAGCCATGTAAAGAGATCATGTTACTGCATTTTTGTGTGATAAAGTCATTGTAGTAAGGTAAGGCAAATTACATAGTAAACCAGCTATGCATACTATCTAAGCTAAGGTATAATACTCTTTATATGATGTTCATTTGCTTTAAAATATGTTTCACATTGCTTTATTCATTTTAACCTTCTTTTAAATTCTTTTGAATTTTTGCTATAGAGTGTGTACATTCATTTGGAGAGAGAGGGAGAGAAAGTGAGAAATCACCCGGGGATATGACCAAGCCACAATCCATTCTCCATTCTCCTCTCTGAATGTTGGGCATATGCACACATGCACCTGGCATGATTTTCAAGCCACTGGGTCCAGGACTTGAACCACGTAGCCATGTGGGATCCAGCCACCTGACCCTCCATGCCACCTGCTGGCCCCATTTTAGCATTCTAATTGTACAAAGATAACAAGACTCTCTCTTCCATAAAACCTTCCCAAACTACATGAGAGGTGATCCCAAAGAAGCATCAGCATTTTACCAGTATTAACGTTTCTTATATCAGGTTCTAAATATCTCATTCTAAGCCAAAGAATTCTTTATTTTGATTGACTATGGGCCTAATATTAAATATCTCAAGTCAGGGTACGATGAAACAAAATAGTAGGAAGGCTTACCTATTCTAAATAAGATTTTTAAAAAATAAAAACACTGAGAAAGAAAAAGAAAAGCAGTCCCTCAAAATAAGTTTCCTATAAAACATGCCGTGTTTTCCCAGGGCACATCTTAGAGGCAATTTCGTCCATGAAATAGTCTCTGTTTATACCTGTTGCCTTCCTGAAGGATGGAGTCTTTCAAGATGCAGCACCCCCACCCCTAACACGGAGCGTCTATCCTGTCAAGATAGTGTCACCACTAGGTATATAGAGCTTGTGGTGCCAATAGACTTCTGAGGCCTGGGAAGGAGTATACTAAAAAGAACTTGGACAGGAGAAAACGAAGAAGAATCAGAGACGAGGAAAGAGGTAGAGTAGGGAGAGAGAAGGGAAGGTGGAAGGTCAGCAGTCATCCAGTTTGCCCACTTTTCTTCCCTGTTCTGCACTTGCTCTATGTGGTATTCACTTACAGGCTAATGCGTCATAAATATTTATCTCCAATTTCAGACCACCCACAGCACTGTGCAATGCCCAGGGCAGACGACCCCATACTTAGAATGTCCAAATATTTAAAAGTTACACATCAAGCTAAATATTCTATTCAGTAAAATACGTTCTATCCAGTGGAAAGACCCACAAATCTGTCCTCTCTCTCTCTCCCGCTCGCACACACACACACACACACACACATACACACACAATTAACAGGAGATGTGTCACTGTCTGGGGATCTGGGGCCTGCTGTCAGCATAGAAGACACAGCTCTAAACACCACTCCATCTGCTCCTGGGACTCACAACCTTGGGCCCTGGCGAACACTCCTTCACACCCCTTGTTCTCTGTCCTTGTAACACCACAAGACAGCCAGCGTCTCTGTGCTGTGAAGGTTGTGGATTGAGGTACTTCTAGCAAGAAGAGCAGGGAGGGTGTGATCCACAGAAGGACTAAGGCAGGATAAAGGCAGCTTGTCACAACTTTCTCAAATACCAAGGATGTCATAAATTCTTGCATAGTCTTTTATTATGCAAGAATATTATAGAAAGTAGTTTCCCTGAAGTCCTAAGAATCCATATTTTTAAGTTTATTTATCTTTTTGATTTGTGATAGAGAACATGTACACAGGCACTAGAAAGTGAGGGAGAGAGAGAACCCTCAACAAGGTTTAATCACATTGCAATCCTCTTCCCACAGCCCTCCAGTGCCTCACCTATTTTCAGGTCCACGTAGGGATTTGAACCCATGGTCAGTCATGTGTCTTCCAGCATTGCAGTTCAATTTGCTACTGACTGTACTACCAGGCTGGGCTTCAAGTATTCATTTGGTTGATCTTGTTTTCAGTCCAGTTTGTGATCTTGGAAGTCCTGTGAATTAGCATGAAATTTACAACATTTGCACACAAAGTGTGAGGAACCCATTGCAATATTAAACAAAATTCATATTACTTTTTTTTTTTTTTTGGCTATAGGGTGTGTGTGTGTGTGTGTGTGTGTGTGTGATTACTAGAGACAGAGAGAGATAGAGGAAAAGTGAGAAAGCGCTCTCTCAGGAGGATGACCACTTTTTCCATTTTCCTCTTGGGATTTTGGGCACATGTGCATGCACATGTGCCTAGCGTGTTTTTCAAGCTACAGGGTCCAGGACTGGAAGTGCACATGTGGGATCCAGCCACCTTAACCACCACACCACAGGTTGGCCCCCTATTACTCTTAAATATACATATATGTGGGTTTGGCAGGTGGTATGGTGGCTAAGGAACTGGACTCCCACATGACCGACTGCGGTTTGAGTCCTGGACCTGGCGACTTGCTAACTCACTTTCCCTCTTTCTCTCGCTCTATCCCTCTCTGGTCAATTTAAAATAAACGAATAAATAAATAATAAAATAATTCTTTAAAAATGTATATATACATATATGTAATACATAGTATAAGAACTATGATGCTGGGACCCGCAGTTGAGGTAATGGTTATGTCACTGGACTCCCATGTAGTCGACCGCAGTTCAAGTCCCAGACCCGGTGGCTTAAACTCACACCAGGCGTGTGTGTGTGCATGCCCAAGATCCTGAGAGGAAAATGGAGGAGACGGGATTGCAGCGTGGCCATCCCTCCTGGGGGGTGATTTCTCACTTTCTGTCTGTCTCCCTCTGTCTTTCTGGTGAGCACATGTGCCCTATGGCAAAAATCTCTCCAAAAAAAAGTACTAAAATATTGATTATAATTTATCTCTAATGTGAGAGAGACAGAGACAGAGAGACAGCACCGTCAACAGGGTCTTGACACCATAATCCACCCCCAGCCTCAGCAAGTCACAGATCATGGGCATACATGCCTGGCATACTCAGGGAGGTCTCTGGACCTGAACCTGAAACCTTCACATGTAGGTCAGCCTCACAGAGCATCATGTTTTACTGCCATGCTTCTCTGTCTAGCCCCTTATTCTTTTTTTTATACAGATGATCAGTGCAATCTTGCCATTCCATGATGTTTTCCAGCCAGCCAAAATCATAGGTGTGGTGAGTGTGCCTGGCATGTTCAGGTTGACCCAGAATCTGAACCCTGGCCTCCCATATGGCTTCAGCATTGCACAGTGGTGCCCTACCACCTATACCACCACAGCTGGGCCACAAAACTGAGTATTAAAAATCTCCTAGGACACTGACCCCCAGAACTGTAAAAAAAATTTATTTTTTATAAAAATATTTAATAAGGGTAATTAACTTTAAAAACAAAAATCTCAGATTATTGGATACTTAATTTTAACTATTCGCTATTTATCTATTAAATTTTAATAGTTTCAAAATTTTTATAAAAATGAATTTTTTAAAGAATTGTTTAATTTTATTATTATTATTATTTTAATTTGCACAGAGAGAGACATATAGAGAGAGGGAAAGTGAGTAAGCTAGTCACCAGGTCTGGAATTCAGATTGCAGTCAGCTGCATGGGAGTCCAGTGCCTTAACCACCATGCCACCTGCTGGGCCAGAAAAATAAGTTCAAAAGCAAACACTATTTCTACTCCTCACCTCACCAACACATTTTTTTTCATTGCTGGAGGGTGTGTGTGCTTGCCAGTGAGAGAGAGGAAGAAGGAGATAGAGAGTCCACCCCCTCCCCCCAATGCAGTGTGGTGATGCTGCAGTCTCTTCTCTATTGCTCTATCCTGTCAGGATGTGGGGCACACATGTGCCTGTGCCTGGTGTGTTTTTCAAACCACAAGGGCTAGGATTTGAACCAGGCCTCCATGTGGGGTCAAGGTCCCTCAACCATTAGGCTATAGGACCAGCCCATCAGCAAGACAGTTTTATGGTCTTATCATTTTCTGTGTTACTCTCCTCTGGTCCCTTCATCACTGAATTTAAGCATATTACATAATTATTGATAAATAGTTATTTTCTAATACTTAATAGTAGTTAATATTTTCAGGTTCCTTTCTACATTGCATATATTATGCTAAATACTATAAATATTTTATTTAGCCTCTTATCAATTATGTGAGGTAAGAACTACTGTTACTATTCTTTTTTAAAGAATTATTATATTTGTTATTATTGTTTTTTAATTTGCTATAGGTTGCATGTCCTATATATAGAGAGAGGGAATATGAGAAAACAAGCTGCCAGATCTAGGATTCAAACCATTTCGACCACGTGGGAGTCCAGTGCCCTAACCACCATGCCACCTGCTGGCCCTACTGTTACTATCCTAATGTTAGGGAAACAGAAGTGTGGGCTGGCTCTAAGACCTGGTGATTAGGGGAGCTGAATCCCACATGGCCAACTATGGTTCAAATCCTGGCCCCAGAGGCTTGAAAACACCTTTGGGACCAGCTGATGACAAAATAGTTACGTCATTGGACTCTCATGTAGTCAACCATGGTTTGAGTCCTGACCTGGTGGCTTAAAACTCATACCAGACACATTTGCATGTGTGCCCAAAATCCAAACAGGAGAATGGAAAAGAAGGGACTGCAGCATGCCCATCCGCCTTGGAGGGTGATTTCTCGCTTTCTGTTTCTTTGGCAATCACATGAACCCTATTGCAAAAATCTCTCTGAAAAAAAAAAAAGAAGAAAGAAAAAAAAAAAAAACACCCTTAGTGTGTGTGCCCCCAAATCCCAATAGAATGAAGATATTCTGAAGGAGAAGGGACTGAGGCATGGCCACACCCCATTGGGAGTGATCTTTTGTTCTCACTCTCTCTGTGTCATTCTGTCTCCCTGTAGTGAGCACATGAGCCCTCAGGCAACAACAACAACAACAAAAAGGAAAGAAAGGAAAACAGGCTGAGGGAAGTAACTGAACCAAGGATTAATGGCAGTTTTTGAGGCTGGTGTTCTAGAATAACCTCTCTTAATTTATTTAATCCTTTGAAGTTCATAGGTTTTGTTATCCCTGTTTTATAGATGGCAAGACTGAGGCTTGAGGGATAAAGAATTTGTTCAGGATTATCTAGCTAGCAGGGGGCAGAGCTGGACTTAAACCACGACAGACTGGCATCAGGAAGAACACACTCTCCTCCCAACACACTGCCCCACTGTAAGGAATGGAGAAGCCAGTGTGGAAACCAAGTCTTCACATTCCAAAGCTATCCTAACATTTGGTCAAGAGTTATAACGAACTTAGGACCCACACGTAATGGTTCATTCCTGTGAATGAACAAAAAGATGTGTACATTCAGCAACCAAGAGTGAGACTGTCGATTCAGTGGTTCGTGAGCTGAGTCAGAAACCGCAGTCGATCTATGTGGATGACTACCAAGAAACTGACAGCCAATTTAAACTTAAGAAATCTGATGAGGAGCAGAATTGATAGCCTTGCAGTAGTCACTTTTTAGAGACAGGTAGACTAACTTAAAAAAAAAATAGAGCATATAATCAGAAACTATTCAGTAAGCAAGTGTTCTGTATTTAAAAATTCTGATGGAGGTAGATGGTTGCCACGTTTCTCAGGGGGAAGACATTAAGCTGAAAGTGACAATTGTGACTGAAGCAGCATTGCCTCAAAAAGTAATTTTATTCCAAAGTATAGAGCTATGGTTTGAATGTCTCTCCCAAAGTTCACGTGTTGGAAACGTAATCCCTGTCACAACAGTGTTGAGAGGTGGAACCTTTAGAAGGTGATTAGGCCGTGAGGGTCCTGCCTTCATGACTGGTATAATGCTATTATTGAGGCAGTAGGTTCCTAATAAAAGGATTAATTCAGTCCTCTTCCCCCATCTCTTTCACATCTTCCCTTTGCCCATCTGCCATGGGAGGACACAAGAAGGCCTTTTACCAGCTTCCAGTCCCTCGATCTCAGACTTTCCAGCTTCCAGAATCATCAAGCAGTATATCCCTGTTCACTGTTACCCAGTCTCAGGTATTCTTTTATAATAGCAGAGATCAGCTAAAGCAGCTAGTTTCTGCTTATGGGGTACTGTCTCCCTGCCTTTAGCGTTCACCTTAGCCCTTAGGAAGAAAAGTACTGTTAAAATAAATGAATACACAGATTCATTCAATTATTTCACAAATTCAACTTTTGTCAACTAACAGTCATATATTTCTTCCTTCAAATAAGCAAGACAGGGCCTGTCTCATAGCACAGCAGTTAAGTTCTGTGCAGAGGGTGTCAGATCCCCCATGATCCTCCATATTCGAATTCCAGAATCGGAGGCTTGAAAAACATGCCAGGCACATATGCATGTACCCGTGTTCCTGAAGGGATGGAAAAATGGGTGGAAAAAAGATTGTGGCATGGCTAGGCCCTGCTGAGGGATTCTTTCTCTCTCTTCCTCACACACATGCGTGTGCCCGCTGACCAAATATAAATCCTCCAAACAACTCCATTCGCAAGTCATTCTAGTTCTTCCTCCACAGAATCTGTCTCCTGCTCTTCAGTTTCCATTATCATGAAAGGTTCATTTAGGTTATTTTTAAGAATTATTTTATTTAACTTAATTTATCTATTTTAATTTTACCAGAAGACAGAGCAAGAGAGAGAAAGTGAAAAGCAAGCCACCAGGTCCAGGACTCGAACCATGGTTAGTCACATGGGAGTCCAGCACCCTTAACCACCATGCCACCTGCCAGCCACTCAATTAGTTTTTTTTTTTAATGCATATATTTTTTTCTGAGACAAAGAGAGATTGAGAGAAAGAGATTCCCAAAAGAATAGGGTCCTCTGGCTGCAACTCACCCCCAGCATTGGCAAATCCAGAACAAGGCACTTGTGTATGCCCAGTGTATACCGAGAGGCCTTGGAATGTAAACCCAGCATCTTCCCATTTGGGTCTTGCATTGCAGAGTATTGCATTACTGCTGTGCCACCAGTGAGCCCAAGGTGTTTCTTTTAATTATTGTTTTCATTTAATTATCATTGCCAACACTAAATGAGTTCTAATGTACCTATGTGCAAAGAGCAAATAATGTGTATAGTATGCACAGTATTTGCCTACAGTCTGTTATACTCAAACTCAAGCAATTTCCAAATTTCATTATTACTGTTGTAAGCAATAACCAAAGTGACTTAGTCTTGGAGTCCTCTTAATAGACATAGGAAAATTAGTCTTGAAACTCCTATCTTCACTATGTGTCTCACAAAACAGAATCTTTTATCTTCTTCACAGGAGATGGAGCCTAATGCTTAACTAACAGAAGCAAGTTAACAATAACCTTGTGGAGCCTTACTGGGCTATAGCAACAGGAAAGGGAAAGACTCCAGCAGCCTCCTCCCACATGTCTGCCTGAAAAAGTTTTAGTAGCTCAAACATTGCTAAACCATACTTGGCTTCTAAACCAGGATCTAAGAGTTGTCTTTACCTGTTTCGCTGGTTTGTTAATCACTGCTTATCTTTTTTTTTTTGGAAGAGGTTTTCGCTATAGGGCGGATGCGCTCGCCAGACAGAGGGAGACAGACAGAAAGCGAGAAATCACCCCCCCAGGGTGGATGGCCACGCCGCAATACCTTCTCTTCCATTCTCCTCTTGGGATCTTGGGCACGCACACACAAGCGCCCGGCATGAGCTTTAAGCCACCGGGTCCAGGATGCGAACCACAGTCGACTACGTGGGAGTCCAGAGACATAGCCATTACGCTAACTGCAGGTCCCAATCACTGCTTATCTTTAAGACCCTCACAGTGAATTGAAGCTGATCATTTCACCCAGCCCTGGATGCCCAGAAGAGAAATCGCTCCCCAAGCAGTGATTGCACCCTGAAGCTTTCACTTCTCTTGGTC